ATACATACATACATACATACATACATACATACATACATACATACATACATACATACATACATACATACATACATACATACATACATACATACATCAATACATACATACATACATACATACATACATACAAACAAATAAACAAACAAACAAACAAACAGACACACAAACTTGTGGATTATATATAGAGAGATTTGAACTTTCTATGTTCACGAGAACAGTATTTATTAATTTCCGGTTGGACACACACCGACACACACACAAGCACACTGTCAAACCAACAGACACACTTAGCGAATTATGCGAATTATACATTTTAGGATTGACAGGGCCCACGTGACTTGCCACCCTTATCGCGCCGAAATAATAAAATTCTTGTGTAATCTTAGGTGTTCTCTCTTTTGTATAATCTTTCCTAAGCACGGTACAAGCTGCAATTTGTAATCTTGTCCCGAGAATATTCCCAGATTTCTTTTATCTCGGAACTTTTTCTCCCCAGTATTATTAGCAACATCTACAAGGAAGCTTTTACAGGTTGAGACTATGATTTTCAGGCTCAAAGCTCGACATGTCAAGAGCTGACTGAGGATGAGAATAAGATGAGGAGCGACGACCAAGGAAGTCGTGAAACTGACCATGATTGTCAGGCAGCAACTAAATTAGACTGCATTGTCAACAATATCAAGCAGTCATTTGCCCTGATTGCCTCATTGGGAGCTGAGATTCCAAAATCCAAATTGAAACGTGATAGAATCGTCGACAGTGCAAAAAGATCTGTAGGGTCTAGAGAAGAAGTTTACAAAAATCTCTTAAACGTTCATATTCCTATGAGTAATGTCGCAGATGGGGACGAGGAGGGAGAGCAGTCAATCATAGAAATTTTGTTCGATGAACTTGTTGGGATGAGTTACACTCCCGATCGTCCACTACTCAGTGGTGAGGATTCAGACGATAACAGTGTCGCTATAGAATGGACCACAGCTTCTTCTTCAGAGCCATGGGATCACGAAGAAGATCCAAAAGTTCAGTTAGCGAATCTCCAATTGAGACAACAAGAGCTGAATGAACTACTCATTTCCGAGAGAAATAACTATGAAGAAAAGTTGATATCTTTAACATCCGCGGTAGAGGAGAACATCGAAAGGAATAATGCTTTGCAACTCTCGCTGGCTAACATGAGTAAAAAATGTACAGAAACAGAGGAAGAATTTCATCGATTGCAGGGTATGTACAATGACGTTGTTAATGAACTTGGAATGGAGAAGTCAGAGCATGCAAAACATTCCAATCTTCTGCGCAGCTTTGAGCTGGAAATCAGTCAAGTCAAAGAGTCTGCTCGTATTATCGAAGAAGAACGATCTCGAATGAGGCTGGAAAATGCAGAACTTGTTGAGAAAATCCGAAGTGTGGAAGTTCTGCAAGCTAGCGAGAAGCAGCATAGTGAGGAACTTACACAGCGATATGATTCGCTAGAAGCCTCGCTTTTGAGAGAGCGAGGACATTTCATGCAGCAGCTTGACGTTCTCCAGAAAAGTTTGGAGGAAAATGGTGAAGACAGCGATTTTGATACATTGGCTTCCAATGGAAATCTCGTAAAGAGTAGCGAAGATTGCGAAGATCACGAGCTGAGAGTAAACAAAATGGAGGAGCAGTTTTCGTTATTGAAAGGAAAATTAAGAGTTCTAAGGCTGCAGAAGGAAGAGAAATGTGATAAGTTGGCTCAGCTTACGTTAGAATTATCTACTACAAATGAAGATCTCAGCTCCACGAAAGAGGAGCTCAAACAAGCTGCTACACAAATTGTTGAGTTGCAGACTTCATATAAGGAGGCTCGGATGGAGATAAAATCGTCAAAAGAGAAGGTGAGAAATTTTTTAAACAGATAAACTAGTTTTCAATCTGAGTGCCTGAACACTAGCCAAGGGCTTTGTAACGGTTATAAACGGCAATACTTTCCACAGTGTAATCGTCTGAAGCGCAAGCATTGTTTTCTTTCAGAAAACTCTGCCTCTGTCACATTAGATGCGTCCCAGGGATAGCATGACCACTGCCTGAGAAATTTGAGGAATCCTCATTTTTCTGAGTCAGAACCACACTGAGTGGCTGATAATCTTTCAGTAACGCGCAGGCTTACCTTGTGCATGGGAGTGGAAGGGGGTGTGAGCCAGTTATTTTAAGGATGGGTGGCAGGTTATTGGAACAGTATTCATTCACTGGATCGAGTCTCTGTTGTAGATGGAGGAGGCTCAGCAATGGATATAAGCAAAGGGCTGGCCTTATTCTCTAGGCTAACTAAATCACTCTTAAGCGGTAAAATAACGAAATTATAGTCTGATGAGTGGAACGGTCACTTGGGGTGGAGTGGTAGTGCCGCCGGGATGATCCGCGTATCGCATCATTCTCTGCTGAACAAAGCTAAGGTGTCATACGCATTAGATAGGCATAGAATGCGCGCTGTATGCTCGCTCTTGTTCTCCATGGTGCAAGAGAAAGCTCGTTTCCTTTCTTGTTAAAGAGTATTATGCATTTTTTTAGAGCACTGCCCACAAAAACATGGTATCTGAAATGAGCCCTTCCCGAATGGCTGCTATATTTCCCGTCCACAGATATTCGACAAATTTGTCCGAAAAAGGGGCACACACTTCAAAGTTCAAACTTCAGAACTCTCTTCTCGCGAATAGGATATGTGAATACGAGCAGATGATCAGGTCTACTGAAGAAGATCTTGAAAGAACACGCATGGCTTATGCTGACCAGAAGAAAGAGAACGACGATCAAAGGTTGCAATTGGGTAATCGTTGAAAGATTCATTCCGTTTTTCAACACAAAAATTTCTCAACATTTCTGCATACTTCCTCTGTCTACTTTGCAGATCTCGTAAAAAGGGAGTTGGACGAGCTTCAGATGACCGCTAGCGAGGCCACCATTCTGCGAGAAAGGCTGGCCGCAGTTGAATCAGAGTTGGCTGAATCTTCACAATTGAACCATCATTTACGTTCACAATTAGGTGATTGCTGTACGTTTTCCGTTGTGTTAAGGCTCACACCCACCTCTTCTTGCAGTTTGCTTTGCATACCATTCTCGAAAATTTTTGAACCTAACACTCGCAGTTTGCTTTGCATACCATTCTCGAAAATTTTTGAACCCAGTTCTCGGGTGAAAGAACTTCTCCATGAAAATCGTGTCGCGCTCACCGTATCGGGTTGCACGCTACGAAGGGGAAGGTTTGAGTACCCAAAGGTATAGTACCCTAGGAACCACTGCCGCCCGCTTGCCTAGGCATTTGAGGAAAGGTACCGCTACCCCTCGAAGTTGAAAAAGTTGGCGACATAGGATTTTACTAAAACATCATTGCTTTATTCTAGTCCCTTCTATTGAAAAAAGTTACATGAACCTGTTAATCTTGATATTTCAAGATAGCAGAGTTTCTGAGCTCAACGAGGAGTTGTTGTCAAAAGGGCAGCAAATTTCTGAATTGGAGAAAACTATTCACGTCATGGAGGAGAACTCAGCAGAAACTCGAGCACATTCAGCAACGGAAGTAGCTAATCTCAGAGTAGGTCCATTATTAAGTACTATATTGCAGAAGAATATCTTTTTGATGATTCTTTACAGAAAGAGCTGGCTGAAGCAAACACACTTGTTGAGAAATTTTCAAGCGAGTTGGAAGTGAATTCTCGTGTGGCTGCCGAGGAAGCTCGTGAACAGGAGATGACAGCAGTGAAAAACGCTGAGGCCAACCTGAAGTTGGTGATGGAAGAACGCGACAATGTGATCAGTGAATTGAAGAACACAAAAGAACAGCTGCATGAGCTCGAACACGACTTATCAGATGCTCTCGAACGTTGCGAAGTTCTAACCGAGGAATTCAACTCAGAGAGGAAGAAGCTTCAGTGTGAATTGGAGACTGCTAGAAATGCCGAAGAAAGTCTGGTTAAAGAACTATGGAAGGCTGAGGAAGAAAGCGCTGCTCAACATGCCATTCAAGAACAAATGCAAGAAAGGATATCAAGCATGCTCGATGAGTCAGAAGCTCTGTCCTTGAAAATGGTCGAGGCAGCGGCTCAGAATGAGGAATTACTAAAAGAAAAGGAATCGGCTCTCAAAGAGAATATGTTGTTGCGGAAAGAAATGCAGTCAGTCAGGGACAGTTTAGTAGCTGCCTGCGATCACCGAGATGAGCTTCTAATGAAGTTATCAAATATGGATGCAATAAATAAGATACAAGAGAACCAGTCGCTCTCATCGGTTCCCATAGCGGAACATTGTGCCAGTTCTGGACTCGTTGCAGCAACCTATAAGAACGAAAGTTTTAGTGGGAGCGTTGTTCCTAAAGGGCGGATAATTTGTAATGATGAGGATGTCGGTCTGCAAGAACGAACGAAAATATTGGAAGAGGAATTGAAGTTCGTCAGAGCAGAAGAGAAAAAACTACGCGAGCAAGTTGGGTCCCTCACGGAAGCTGTTAGCGCTCGCGACTCGTCACTTGCAAGGTTCGTCAGAAATGTTGTTTTGCCTTCATTCGAAAACCGTGGGGTCGCAAACGTTAACCCGTGCATAACAATAAATAACGTTATGAAATTAGGTATAAAATTCAGGATTGTTGCAAACAGTGAGAACGCTCCGCCTACCGCGAGTGTGTTTCCTCTGTTTCACCTTTCAATCCATTTCTATCATCTGCTCACATCTTTGCCGGGCTCAACCCAGCTTTTCCAGGTGTTCTTCATGTGATATTAGGTCGAGTCATAAGTCCTCGGACAATGTAATAGTGATGGCTCCTAGAGATCATAACTC